GTGGAGCTATAATGGTTGACAGAATTATGGGATTAGGGTATGTAGTGCAGAGCTGTATTAATAGCATCCTTTAGTGTGGGGGAAATCAGATCCATGACCTCAGTGCTTCTTGGGGCATGGCCGGCCACTATTTGGTCATGATTTTCTGGGTTAGTTTGTTTCTCATGCCCACTTCCTTGTTACCTACCTCCATGTCCTCCATGTCTTTTCTCTCTTTTTTTTTTTTTGGTCAGAGTATCCCTTTGAAGTATTATGGGATAGTAGGCACAAAGTACATATATATATATATATATACAAGATTAAATGAATTGTAAGGAGTACTATGCCTCTAATGTGGATTTCTCTGGGGGAATATTGAGAACTGAAACCTTTTCTTTATGATACTAAGATTTGGACTGATGCTGAGTGTTATGGGGAATCATTTAAAGTCTGGAAATGATGTGATGGGACTTTGTCATGATTGATGTTAGATTGAAGAGTGCTTAAATTTTTAAAAAAGATTTATTTATTTTTATTTCACCAAGTAAGATATATATAGAGGAGCAGAGACAGAGAGGAGATCTTCCATTCATTGATTCACTCCCCAAGCGGCCACAATGGCTGGAGCTGCACTGATATGAAGCCAGGAGCCTCTTCCAGGTCTCCCACGCAGGTGTGGGGTCTCAGGTTTTTGTGCCGTCCTCGACTGCTTTCTCGGGCCACAGGCAGGGAGCTGGATGGGAAGCAGGGCTGTCGGAACACGAACTGGCACCCATATGGGATCCCAGCACATGCAATGTGAGGACTTTAGCCTCTAGGCTACCGCACCAGGCCCCAGGCACTTGTATTTAATGCAGTAAGTTGTTTATAAGATCACTGCAGCAGTGTATGTGAGCATTGCTGGCATCTGGAGTGTTGATTGAAATAGAGAAAGGGTGCTGATTGGTAGAGATATTAAGGTAGAATTAGCAGAAGCATGAATATGAAGATGGAACGTGGATGATTTCCAGGTTCTTGGCATGACTGATCGATGCAGAAGCTTGTGTTGTGATAATGACTGGAAATGCAGGAGAAGACACTGCCTGCTTCATTGGTGACTGCGAAGCCTTCTGCGGGGGCAGGCACTGTGCCATAGGTTTAGCGGCTACCTGCAACACCGTTGTTCCCCGATAGAAGGCAGTTTCAGTTCTGCATGTTAGTGTGCTTGAAAAAGCAGCAGGGGATGGTCCAAGTACTTGTGTCTCCTGCCTTCCAAATGGGAGACCTAGGAGTTCCTGACGCCTGCTTAGTTTGCTCTAGACCTAACCATTGTGGCCATTTGGGTAGTGAACCAGTGGATAGAATATTCTCTCTCTCCCCCTTCCTCTCTTCTTCTTTCTTTCCTTCCCTTCCTCACTCCCTCTCTCTATTGCTCTTTCAAATAATAAGTGTTTTAAAAATCTATTATCTTCACAGGGCATTTTTATCCCAAGTTTCAGTTGTTCAGTCTAATTATGTATTTGTTATCTATCTGTACGTTTCCCCATGTACATAAAGATCAATACATCCAAATATTGATTCCTTATCTACTTCCCCCATGTAGCGTAGATTAATGGTCAAGACCACAGATGCTGGGATCAGATTCTCTAGGCTTGAGTTGCACAGGTCACTGGCAGTTTTGTGGCTGTGTGCAAGTTATGTGGCTTTTCTATGCTTCCATATGTTTATCTCTGAGGTGGGGATAACCACAGTAGCTACCTCACTGTTGTTATTGCAGTTGAGGAGGTTAATTTACATAAAGCACTTACATTGATAATAGTACATGGCAGGTACTATCTGATTCTGTCAGTAACAGTGAGATTTTCCTGAATTTTCTTTGCTATTGATGACATCATTGTTAACTAACTGTCTATAGCAGAAAGGTGAGGTTGCCCTAACTCTCCCATAGCACTAAATACTGCATGAAAGCAATCATTAAGTCCTGTCACTTGTCTTTTCTTATCTGTACCATAACCGCATCAGAGATTCCATTATTATCTACCCGAGTGACTGGCTAGTGATGAGTTTCCTGGTTTAGTCTTCCTGTGCCAGCATTCTCTATGTGGGCCCCAGTGATTCTGGTGAAATGCAAATCCGAGCACTTAGTGCCTCCATGTTCTCAGAGTACACACACTAGGCTACTGCTTATATATTTAGATATAGCCAAAATCTCATAATGAGACTATTGATTCTCTTTCTTTGAAAAAAGATTTCTTTATTTACTTATTTGATTTTTGAAAGTGTTGATCATCAGAGACAGAGTGAGCAAGATCTTCCATCTGCTGGTTTACTCCCCAAGTGGTGCAATAGTCAGGGCTGGGAGCCAGCCAGACGCAGGAACGTGGAACTCCATTCAGGTCTCGTATGTGGTGGCAGGACCCAAGCACTTGGGCCATCGTATGCTGCTTTTCCAGGCACATTAACAGGAACCTCGACAGGAAGTGGAAGAGGTGGAACTTGAACTTACATGCTGACGTGTGTTCCAAGTGGTGGCCTAATCCATTGTGTCACCGGCCCCAGTTTTCCTGTATGAAATCTACTGTGTTTTAAATATTTTTAATAATTTATTTGACAAGGCTAATGTTGTGGTGCAGTGGGTTAAAACTGTCATCTGCAATGCTGATATCCCTTATGGGTGCTCCTTTGAGTTATTGCTTCTCCACTTCTGATCTGGATTCGTGCTGATGCACCTGGGAAAGCACTAGAAGCTTTTATTTTATTTGAAGGCGAGAGAGCAAAAGAAAGCAAGAGAGAGAATGAGAGAAGGGATGGCGAAGGAAGGAGAACGAGAGAAGTGAAGAGCATATTTTTATCTGCTGATTGACTCTGCGCTGCCTGTAGCAGCCACAATGGGCCAGGTTGAAGCCAGGAGACTGGCGCTCAGTCAGTCCAGCTCTGCTATGTGGGTTTCAGGGACATAGTGCTAGAACCATCAACCGCTGTTTCTCAGAGTTCTACAGAGTGGAAGCTGGACTGGAAGCAGAATGTTTCTTTGTATTTACGCAGGCAGCCTGGCAGGGATGCAGGTGTTCAAGGAGAGACCCAGCTGCTGCACCAGGTGCCTATCACCTGGGCTACAGTCTGTGTTTCCTTCACTGATATTTTTCAGTGTGAGTATCTTTGTGTTCTCATTAGATGTCAAACTTTGGCTGCACCATAGTGTTTACATAGCAGGAAGACATGCATTCTGTGTCTGTTTTAGCAGTCTTATTTCTTAAGGTGTTTTTTTTTTGAGGGGTGAATAAAAAATAGTTTTATGCCAAGTGGCATTGTTTAGGGAAGATACATGCTGGTAGGTTTATTATTCATTTCAACCCAATGCATACAGTTCTTTATATTCATAGTTTTTCAAAGGTTTATTTATTTTTATTGGAAAGTCAGCTTTACAGAGAAGAGACAGAAGGGAAGATTTTCCATCCACTGGCTCACCCCCTAGTGGCTGCAGTGGGTGGAGCTGAGCTGATCCAAAGCCAGGAGCCAGGAGCTTCTTCCAGGTATCCAGCACGGGTGAGAGTCCCAAGGCTATGGGCCATCCTCAACTGCTTTCCCAGGCCACAGGCAGGGAGCTGGAAGGCAAGTGGAGCAGATGGGATATGAACCGTTGCCCATATTGGATCCAGGCACATACAAGGCAAGGATTTAGCCACTAGGCTGCCATGCTAGGTCCACATATAGTTATATATTAACTAAATCATAGCTCTTAGCATCAATGAGAAAAGCCATTACTTTCCTAAAAGCTAGTTGGTATTATTTATTTTTGCAACATGTATTGTAGTACTTTCAAAATAAATATTTGTGGTAGGGGGATTTTCTTCAAGTCTGTATCTGTAATTGTCCATTCTACTATGCCAGTGAAGCTAATTAGATTTGGGGTTAGATTTTGGAACGTTCTCATTGGCCTTTTCCTGCTTTCTATGTTTCTATTCAGTGAAATCTGATTTCAGTTTAAGCTCTGTCCAGCAAGCTTCTAAAATCTCATGGTATGACCTAGAACATTTTTACTCTCTGAATTGTTGCGTAACATCTTGCCTTGAGGCCAGTATTTGGTTCTCAAAACTTGATAAACTTCAGAACCCCCTGGGTGCTTGTTGGAGTACAGGTGCCACTTGCCTTCCCTTGAATATTGTGCATCTACAGGCTCTTGGGTGACTGCAGTTATAATACCTTCTGGTTATCCTGGAAAAATTTCTTAAAACACTGTTTTTGAGTCATTTTGAATGGAAATCTGTGATGATTTTTCCAAGAGTTGTGAAGCATTCTAAATGTGCTTAAAAATTACTTCATAGGCATTTTTGTGAATTCTTGGATATTTCAGCGTAGGTGATGATGTATGTGGCATTTATACAGTACGCTCTTTCCTGCACTTTAATTGATCTAGTACACATTAACATGGCTATTTTAAACATGACTTTTATTTAAAGTTTTTTGTTTTCCAGGAATTGGGATAAACAGAATTGAAGTTGTAATTTTTTTTGCTGTTAATTTCTAAGTGCAATATATACCTTTACTTTATCATATATTTTGTGTATCTGTTCATTTCAGAAGAACTTCAGAATACTTTGAATATACAATCTAGTGTATCTTTAATAATGATTGGTATTTGATAGTACTAATATTGATCTTGAAGTAGAAGACAGTACTGATTTGTTATTCAACATGTTTAAGAATTTCAGCATAAAATGTTTTTTTAACGACATTTTCCTTAAACAAGTGAATCGATAACCCGTAGAAATGTACGGCAATCTTTTATAGCAGACTGAATGAGTGACATGTCGCACTGAAGTCTTTTTGATAACATGCATTGATTAATGTTAGCTATACATCCTCCCACCTGTTTCGTAACTTTACAAATACTTTTTTTTTCTAGCATAATCTAGCATTCTTTATGCACATCAACAAGTGGCAACTTAGGAAAGTTACTGTGGTTCTTGATGAATACATTTATAGTTGATCTGAATTTCTTAATGTCTTAATCTATTATTTATTTACTTATTTGTTTTTAGGGACTTTCTTCCTCGAGGATCAGGCATTGTAACAAGACGACCTCTTGTGCTGCAGCTTGTTACTTCCAAAGCAGGTAATGTGTGTGGTTGCTCACTGCGTGGATGAGTGCATCCCATGACACCTGCTGCCTTCCCCTTCCTGTGTGTGGTACCTTACTGCGTATATAAGCACATCCCGTGACACCTGCTGTCTCCCTTCCTGTGTGTGGTACCTTACTGCGTGGATAAGCACATCCCGTGACACCTGCTGTCTCCCTTCCTGTGTGTGGTTGCTCACTGTGTGGATAAGCACATCACATGACACCTGCAGTCTCCCTTCCTGTGTGTGGTACCTTACTGCGTGGATAAGCACATCCCGTGACACCTGCTGTCTCCCTTCCTGTGTGTGGTTGCTCACTGTGTGGATAAGCACATCCCGTGACACCTGCAGTCTCCCTTCCTGTGTGTGGTACCTTACTGCGTGGATAAGCACATCCCGTGACAGCTGCTGTCTCCCTTCCTGTGTGTGGTTGCTCACTGTGTGGATAAGCACATCCCGTGACACCTGCTGTCTCCCTTCCTGTGTGTGGTTGCTCACTGCATGTATAAGCGCATCCCATGACACCTGCTGCCTTCCCCTTTCTGTGTGTGGTTGCTCACTGTGTGGATAAGCACATCCCATGACACCTGCTGCCTTCCCCTTCCTGTGTGTGGTACCTTACTGCGTGGATAAGTGCATCCCATGACACCTGCTACCTTCCCCTTCCTGTGTGTGGTTGCTCACTGCGTGGATAAGCACATCCCGTGACACCTGCTGTCTCCCTTCCTGTGTGTGGTTGCTCACTGCGTGGATAAGCACATCCCGTGACACCTGCAGTCTCCCTTCCTGTGTGTGGTACCTTACTGCGTGTATAAGCACATCCCGTGACACCTGCTGTCTCCCTTCCTGTGTGTGGTACCTTACTGCGTGGATAAGCACATCCCGTGACACCTGCAGTCTCCCTTCCTGTGTGTGGTACCTTACTGCGTGGATAAGCACATCCCGTGACACCTGCTGCCTTCCCCTTTCTGTGTGTGGTTGCTCACTGCGTGGATAAGCACATCCCAGGACACCTGCCGTCTCCCTTCCTGTGTGGCCACTCTGCTGGGGGCAGCTGCTCTCATGCTCTCTAGAGTGTTTCCCTCTTCACTGCTGTCTTAACCCCTTTGATTACATAAAAAGGAAAGTCTCATTGCATAGGCATTCTTAAAAGTTACTATTTTTATGCTTAGAAAATAATACTTGATCATTATAATTTATCTCAGTAATTTAAATATGTGAAAGTTATGATAAAAACTATTAGTATTGTAGGAGTAGAGGGGGTATTTCTTTAATTGAATAAATCCTGTGATGAAAACCGCAGACAGCATGCTTAATGGTAAAAGACTAGAAACTTTCCTTAGAGTATCAGGAAGAGAGGAAAAAATGCATTTTTGCAGTTTCTGTTCAATATCACACTGGAGGTTTTTACCAAGACCCTTGGGCAGCGAAAATTTTAACAGGCTTTTATATTGAAAAGGAAGAAGTAAAATGATCTGCTTTTACAGATACTATTATATGTATACATTATATAAAATATATACATATAAAACTGAGGGGAATCACAAAAATACTATTATAACTAATAAAGGAGTTTCAGGAAGGTTGAAACGCTTAAGAGCATTATCGAAGAATATATTTCATTTCTATACATTTGCAATGAACAATTCAAAAATTAAACTGAAAAAAGCAGTTTCATTCACAACACAAAAAAGAATGCACTATTGGAGAATAAATTCAACAAAAGATATGAAAAACATAGCCGTGAAGACTACAAAGTTTCATTTAAAAAGATAGATGAAAATCTAAGTAAATTGGGAAACATCCCATGATTTTTTTTTAAATAAAGATTTATCTTATTTTTATTGGAAAGGCAGATATACAGAGAAGAGAAACAGAGAGGAAGATCTTCCGTCCGATGATTCACTCCCCAAGTGTGCACAACGGCCGTTGCTATGCCAGTCCGAAGCCAGGAGGCTCTTCCGGGTCTCCCACGCGGGTGCAGGGTCCCAAAGCTTTGGGCTGACCTTGACTGCTTTCCCAGGTCGCAGGCAGGGAGCTGGATGGCAAGCGGGGCTGCCGGGATAGAACCGGCGTCCATATGGGATCCCGGGCGTGCAAGGCAAGGACCTTAACCACTGCGCCATTGCACCGGGCCCCATCCCATGATTCTTGATTGGAAAACTTCACAATGTTCTGATGGTAGCACTCCTAAACTGCCATGTGGATGCAGTGTGTTTCCTGTCAGAATCTTAGCTCTCTTCTTTCTAGAAATGGCATATACTTTAAATAATTTTTTGATGTTATGAATATGTAGGATTCGTGTGGTATTACAGCAAGTTACGTCACAGCTTGCGATGCCTATGCTGCAAAGTGCTGATTCAAATTCTAACTTCTCCACTTCTAATCCAGCTTCCTAGTATGGAGCCTTAGAGGCATCAGATGGCCTGAGCCCTTGGTCCCCTGCGATTGGGTGACCCAGATGGAGTAGCTGGCTACTGGCTTTGACCTGGCTCTACTCTGGCTGGTGTAGGCATTTGGGGAAGTGAATGGACAGATGGAAGAGTTCTCTCTGTTCTCCCTCCACTCTCATTACTCCACCTTTCAAACCAATCAGTAAATCAACCAACAAATCAATCAATCAATCAATCAGTCTGTTGGAGCTGATTCAGAGTAATGGATTCAAATGCCATCATATGGAAATTTGAATTATTTGCAAATTCACCATGCAGCAGTCATTACTGTAGGTTCTGAAGATAAAACAATGAGTAGGAAAACTCCTTGCCCTCCGATGATTGAATTTTAACTGTATCAAGTTTATTTTGGGCTAATGTTTTTGGAAATCCCTGCGTAGTCTATTCTTTTCATAATATGCAGTTCCATGAACTTTCTGAAGACCCGTTATATGCAAGTTTTACTCAAAACAGTTGTTAAATCTGTGTATTTAAAGAGAATGTAAATATTCATTGCACTTTTCTCCTTTTTCATAGTTTTCCAATTTTATTTGATATTACTTCTTTATCTGAAATGTATTTTAATGTGTGATGAAATAATTGTTCCTCAATGTACCTTGTATTATGTTGAAAAAGAAGGAAAGAGGAAGGGAAGGAGTGAAAGAGGAAGAGAAGGAGCAGGAGAGGAAGAGAGAGTCTCATTGCTGGTTCACTGTGCAGTTACTTGCAACAGTCTGGTTTGGCCAGAATCAGAAGCTAGGAACCCGGAATTTTATCCGGTTCTCCCAAATGGGTGGGCATGGACCTAAGCACCTGAGCCATCATCCATTGCCTCTCTGGATTCATTGGCAGTAAGCGTGGGCCTATGTGCCTGAGCCATCATCCATTGCCTCACTGGATGCATTGGCAGCAAGCGTGGGCCTAAGCGCCTAAGCCGTCATCCATTGCCTCTCTGGATGTATTAGCAGCAAGCTTGGATCAGAAGCAGGGCATGGATGGCACCAGGTGCAGTAGGCTAATTCTGCTCTAACAGCACTGGTAGTTTAACATGCAGTACCACACTTGCTCCTACATGGCATGTTTTAACTCCACAGTAATTTGTGAATATTGTTTGTTTTTTATCATGCCAATACTACAGCATTGTATTTTGTTGGTTTACAATTTATTATAAATATCTCTGTGGGAAGATGATCTGTTTTTCACTTTTGAATTTTTACTTAAGGATTGGTTTCTAATTGTGTGGCCAAGTCTAGAATAATTTTGTAAAGACAAAATAATGCCACTTGAATTATTCCAAATCAGTATATCCATTGGGTATAAGTGATGTCTTTAAAGTATTCATTATTCTTGCCAATTCTGGGACCGTGCTGCATCTTCTCATTTCCTCACATCTTTTATGCTTGTTTTGATGGTCTCTGTGTAGTGTCTCACATTAGGATACTTGGTTTTTGTTGTTGTTGTTTGTGTGGTTTAAGTAGGGTTTTTGCCATTATGTTTTCTAACATTTAATGCTAACCTATATGAACTCTGCTGCTTTTTAGTTTTTAATGTAATTTAATGATTTAAATTTTTAAGTTGCCCATCTTGGTCAGCATTTAACTGTAAAATGTCCTGTTTTGATTCTTTAGGGAATTTAGTTGTGAAGTCATTTCATCCACATTTCTTCATATATTCACAAAACTTATATTCATAAGTCTTTATTGTGTGAATAGCAGACTGAGAAAAGAGACTGATTGACCAGACACTGGCAAGCTTCTTTGCAGTGGGAGAGATCTTCTTATATAATGGGCACCTTCAAAGAAAGGTATAACATATGCCTACCCTAGTTAGTTTCCCAAGCTTGTCCCTTTCAGGTCCCTGGACCTTCTTTCCTTATTTCCCATTAACCAATGAAGATAGTATCACACATTCCATCTTTTGCACAGAATAGATGAGGAATCGTTCCCTCAGTGTAAAGTCCCATGAGTATAATCATTTAGGTAACTTAGAATATGTGGCTGCTGCATTATAGCCCTTTAGTTGAAGCCAGATGAGAAGCAGGCTCGTTTGAATGCACATCCTAAGTGAACTGTCTGGGCAAATTCATTGTGGCTGAGGGTCAAGTTGAGAGCAGAGAAAATCCCGAAAGGAGAAAGCTGGTATGTGTGTCTTCTGCTCATACATTCATTTGTGTTTTTTTCTATAAATTTGTTCACTTGTTTTATTTGAAACACAGAGACACAGGCACACACATTGCAGCTCTAAATGCCTGTGGGTCCGGGGACAGGCCAAGGCACACATATTCCATCTCTAAAAGCTTGGGGGTCCGGGGACGGGCCAAGCCAGAGCAGCACTGAGACGTTCTTCTGGATCTCCCATCTGAGTGTCAGGATCTTGGCACATGCTCTGTTCTCCGCTGCTTCCCAGGGTGTGAATTAGCAGGAAGCTGTCATTAGGAGCAAAGCCAGGGCTCAAACCTGGGCCTGAACACTTGATATGAAATGCAGGCATCGTAAGGGGCATATTAACAACTATGACTGTTGCCAGCCCCATTGTCTTAAAATCTTAATTGGGATCAGTTCCA